TTGAGAACCCCTCCTCAGACACTCTCTCAGCCATCTTAACAGCTGATTCCTTGTGGGTTCTGTTTCTGAGTTTTATTTGACTCCTGCCCTACGGGGAGCTGGGATTGCACAGGTCGGTTGCCATGGATGTAAGACAAAAAAAGATCTCCCCTGAAGCCCCGCTCAGCAGGCTACATATTTGTGCATTGTGTGGACGATGTGCAGGAACCTCACAACCAGTGGATGAAAACATGCAATCCTGGGGGACTTACTGACAGACCATGAGCAAGAGGGGAGAGAAAGAAAAAAAAAAAAATGAAAAAAAAAAAAAAAAAGATGCTGGAAAGCTCAAAGGCCGTCTGCTTGACAGTATGCCATCAACTCAGTCTTTATTCTTTCTATTTTTTTCCACCCACAGTTGCCCAGCTATCTTTTGGCTGTGAAATGACTTGAAAGGCAGCGGTCAGGTTCATTTCAGGACGAGATATTAAAATGTTGTGGCACATTTCTCTGAAGAAAAGAGAAAAATGTAATGAACCATTACTGCGGGATGAGCTGCGCTTTGAAGCTCCACTCGTAATTAACAGCTCTAGCCCTTGTTTTAGCTTATTCGTGTTACTCATTGTGTTAAAGTATAGAGTGCTTTTTCGACATAAAAGAAGCCCTTGAAGATTTGTGAAGAACTGTGGCCCATTACAAGCACAAAAACACCAGCAAGTCCCCCAGGAAAAAAACATTTTAAATAGCATTTTATTGGTTGGTGTTATTTTTCCGTGTCTCCTGAGTGTTTCAGACTTTTATCCATCTACATTCCTCTAATTTCTTCATCCCCCCCACCCTCATCAGCTGCATCATATAAAGATGCCTAATTGAAGGCTTTGCGCAAAACAAATGACCACATTAGCCTGCCCCCTTTTAACTCATCCTTCTTCCTGTCTGTGGTTGTAATGCATTATACACTCTGCTTGTTCTCTGTTGTCTCTCAAATTACAGCCCAGGCTGCCAATCATTTGGAGACCAAAACTAAGGGACTTGTTTTTCTGCATAAACCCCAACCCACCCACCTCATGTCTATTTTAATCTTGTACTTCACAAAATTATTTATAGTGAAGCAAAACGGTAGGCTTAATGCTGAAATGTTATTCAAATTTCAAGATGATCCATAAAGTTGTTGTCCCTTTTCCACTTCCATTATAATCTGAAAACACCCAAAACAAAAGAAACAGTCACACAAGATGAATAACAAACAATTTACTCATATTAAGTCTGCATCATTGAACACTGCCTAGATAGGAAAGAGAAATTAAATGCTTGACTTGTGTTTCTTTTATGTCTGCACATGAACAGCAAAATAGCTCTTTTTTTACATTCTGTTAAAACCTAAGAACCGGCTAGACATTTCTGTCCCTCCGTGGTTCCCATACATATGGTGCCACAGTGTGCTTTCTCCATGTGACAAAGACTCTTTAAACCTCTACGGCCAAATAGAACAATGCCACGTGGGTGGCTTTCTTTCTCTCTCTGTTTGTGTGTGTGTGTGTGTCTCTGTGTGTGAGTAAACAGATATTGAAGATTGTAAGTCTCAAAAAGTCTGCATCAACATTTGAACAAGTATCAGCTTTCATCAGCACAGATTTACTTCAATAGCAAGACAAATAATGTTGGACAGGTGAAGAAGGATAGTTTAGTTTGTGGTACACATTTCTTCATGTGTATTTTAACTAAAGTTGTCATAATGATTACACAATAACTTTTAAGGCAAGATATGTTTAGATTACAGCTGACAAGATTAGTCAATTAAAAAGATGATGCAATGTTGAATAGTTCCCTGTTTTGTTTGTATCATGTACACAAACTAGGGTGCACATGCATGCATCTTACACGCTATTCCCCTGATCTACAGTTGTTGGCGTAAGGAGCCAACAAACAAAGTAATGTCCAGACAAAGTCAACGAAGATGATGACTGCCAGCAAGCAAACACAGATGTAAACTCAGGATTTAAAATATTAAACATCAGCTTTGCAAATGTTTTATGGAGGAAGAAATGCACTCAACATGTTTATTAGACACACAATGTGTTTTGGTGAGAAACTGAAAGTAAACAGAAATGTAGAAAATTCAATGAAATGTCAATCAACATAAAATTTGAAGTTAAGTCATATTTCAAGCAAAAATACCAAACATGGTATAAGCTCTACTTCCAGCTCCTATGTTTTTTTGGGGGGGAGTTTTGTCCTGAAGGTTGGACTAATCTTGGAGCCCAAACAATTATTTAATAGACCAAGAAATCACATTAATCAATAATGAAAATAATACGTAGCTGCAGCCGTAGTTTAAACTGTAATTAAACAAATCAGAAAAGCACCATGGGAACATGACATAATGACTTAATAAATGTAATACTCAGAGCAGTTATACTGCTGCTGAGACTTAAATTGCTGAGCGTCTGTTGCCACTTGTATTATGCAGCCTGGTTGTTGGAAGCAGCCGTCGATGTTTGTTGACTGATGAAAGCCGATGTTGACAGGGAACTCTGTTTGGTTTGGCAGGAGCGCACACTGGCTGCCATTCCACAGATGAAACCATGTGAGCGCTGCTCATTTTGTAAGGATTTTTTAAACAGCTACCAGTTCTTGCAGCCTTGTTTGACTTGCCCTGTGTGAACAAACCTGCCAGCTCCTAGGCTGTTACGAGAACTTCAAGGGCCAGAAAGAAGAAAAAAAACACACCTTCAGACATTTAAGGAGGCATATCAAAGGAAAAGGCTGGTGATATTATATATTTTCCTACTGTCAAAAAGACCAAAACCAACAATGAATTGATCCTAGTAACAAGGATTGTCTGTGTAGCCAAAGCCTGATTTTGCTTACTCTTCTTTTCCTAAGCTGCTTTGTTGTCCAAAAGCTATTAAAAACACATCAGTGAGCACTCTTGTAACTCTGTGACATATTCTTTCATTTGAGTCAATCCCACATACACCATTCTGCTGTTGTAAATACTCACTAGAGCACTAAATATGTTTTAATCCGTTGCTGGAAATAGTCCCCAACAATGTACTCCTGACGGCTGCTTAAAGTAGCATTTGCTTAAAATTGCACGGGGGGGGACTATACATCTGTGCTTTACATCTTCAATTTGGGGCTGAGTGCCACGGACAGGGTCAGGAGGTCAAAAAGTATTGAGAGATGATGCAACATTTCGCTGATTTTGTTCTTTTTAATGGGATTTTACACAGGGTTTGATTTATAATCTGAAAAATAAGCAACATTAGGGGTGGAGATAAAAAAAAAAAGTAATAGCCTACACTTTCACACAGACACACACACACACACACACACTAAATGCAACAATTGTATCAAGTAGATTGCAACAAACAAAGTTTCAATAGACTGACATTTGCCAACTGAGACCCATCTCAAAGGGAGAACACATTTCCATCCTTTTTGCAGGCGTCACTTTTTCACTCACTGCTGACAGCGGGTGTGCAGTGCCCTTTCCTATGTAGCACACCACTAGTGGGAGGATACATCGGGTTTTGCGAGTAGTAAATCCAATAGAGAGCAAGCGGTCAATACAGAGAGATATAATACTCATTACACTGAACTATGCATTAAAATTATGGTTGCCGGTAATGCGACCCGACAGGTGTAAGATTTTTACTTCTTTCATGGGTACTCAGACCCCTTCTTATGGGGGGACCGGCTCCCACATAACTTGAAACTTAATTTTACAATAAGAAATAGATAAAATAACGCCTTAAACTTAAAAAAAAAAAAAACCTGCAGTCAAACAACTTTATAAGGCTGTTTGCAACTTTGTTCTAAGTTGACAGTATTTTAGAGGCGGCATGTTCCACAAACTTGATCATAAATGCTGAGTATTTTAGTTCAACTTCAGAGCCTGAGTAGACACATCAAACATCTGACGACAAAAAACGGGCATTGCCCCTGCAAACCTCAACTAAAACACTGTGATCATGCAAGACTCTCCTATAAATCATTTGAGTTTCGGAGGAGGATAACAGCACGTCTTTAAACTGAGAGAGACATCGTTAAAGTGGATTGGTCTAATGATACGTCTGCACAATTCATGTCATAAGCTCCGCATTTGTTGCCCACCTATTTCAGCCATCATATGACAGCTATCAGCTGGAGTGGGATAAACACCCCACACTGGACAGGGAGAGCGCACAGATAGAGGCAAGTTGTTGCCTGTAAGTCGACTGTCAGTCACTGCTGAGCGAAAGGATAGAGCCGAATGGAAAACAAATGTGGGGATGGATAGCGAACTGTTTATGATGGGATAAGTGCGTAGGAAGTGAAGCTATTAGCAAACGCCGCAGTACACGTCCCTGACAGACATTCACCCTTACAGACAGCCTCCTCCTCCTCAGTCTCCTACAGGAACAGCAAACCTATCTAATCTCAAGATCAGAGTGTAGCGGTAGATCTGGAAGGAGGACAGACACGGCTCTGTTTGCTCTGATGTGGAGTCTCACTGCACGCACACACACACACACACTGACTCATCCACTGTTTTTACAGCACCCACACAAACACAAACTCCTAAATGTATACTCCAACTCGGAGAAGACACACAAACGTCTACACACATACAATTATCCACATAAACATTTGCGCTCTCACCTCAGCACGCGTTTATGAAGTTTAACTTCCACAACAGTGACGCCTAAACACGTTCCAAACTCGCGGCTCAAAACTGAAAAGGTGACTGGATTTGCTGTTAGAGACCCCAGACTTTGGATTGCCCTGCCTGAAGGTATCAGGTGATCAGATTTTTACTTACTTATTTACTTTCTGTCCGTTTAGTTTTTACATTCTTATTTGTAATTGCCCCTGTAATACTGCCTTTGCAAACTCATACTTGGTTTCTCTTCCTTGTGTCTTTCATTGCTTTGCTTTGGTTTCATGTACATACAACTCTTTGTAACTTTCCAATAGTGCTATATAAATAACAATACATATAAATAAATAAAACACACAAACCACTTAATTCTTACCTTGAAAAGCAGCCACACTGCGTGAGATGAGAAACTTGAGGCTGGAGCTGGACGTCTGGAGAAGGTTCTGTATGTCTCTCCGGGCGGCCACCTGGTACTTCTCCTCCATCTTCTTGGTGCAGCAGGTCAGGTTCTTGGACACGCACACCTGAAGGTCTGAACCTAGGAGTCATTCAGATTTAAAACATAAAACAGGGGCCTGGATTAAAATGGGACAAAACTAAGAAGCAGGGTAGCTCAGGGTTAAGAGAGCCAGTAAGAAAGACTCTGTTTCCATCTTTTGCTGGGATTTGACGGCCCCAGTTTGTGCCTCTCGTGTATTACCGTTACATTCCAGTCCCAGAGATAAGCATTTGTTTCTATGACATAGCATAATAAATACCCAGCAATGTTTGAAAAACCCCAAACGGTCTTTTAATAACATTTACCTCTGTTCTGAATTTCCAGAGTCCTCAAAGACTCTAACCATCTGGCTGACCCATTTCTCAAATTGCAACTGTTTTTCCTAATCCAGTGAGCTGGATATGACATATGTCTTTACTCCTTTTGTCCAACACCAGAAATATAATATAAAGTAAGGAAAGTAACATGAGTATAGTCAAATACCAGTATACACTAGATTTTTAGTTTATTATTATTATTTTTTTTTTTTTTCACCTCAAGCAAAGACATATTACCTACAGCTAACATCATTAGGAAAATGGATTAGGAGACTTGGAAAATGCATTTAAAATATTTTTTTTTTTTTTAAATCAAGATTAGACAGTATTGTGGATTATGGAAAGGCCTTCAGAACAGGTACCAGTTAAAATGTTTTAAAAAACAACAATTACAAGTTGTTTAATGACCTTCGGCATTTTTCAAACATAACCAGGTACTTATTTTTCAGACAAAGGAATGCTTACCTCTGTGACTCCAAGGTAATACTAATACATGAGAGGCATAAACTGGGGCAGAGGGTTTGCATGCTCTCTTTAAAAGGTGCTCCACTTTCCTTTACGCATTCCAAAGACATGCAAGTCAGGTGGATTTGACACCCTAAACTGCCCGAAGGTATGAATAAGTGAGTGCGTCTACGTATCTTCTGTATTATCTGTATGATAAACTGGAAACTGTCCAAACTGACAAGCAGCTTTCTTGCCTGTGGTAAAGCATTCAGCAGCAAGAGGGGAGTCTACAGCGATGGTGATTTGAGCTCAGTGCTAACAACAGCATGACAATAATTATTTTGGCCAAAAAAATGCAATACACAATATTATCATGATAATCACAATAATGAAAATATTATATAAATATATACAATATATGCTCAATATAGGACTGTATGCTAGCAAGCTAGACAGCCATGTGAGAATAATTCACAATTATCCTGATTCACAATTATCAATTAATCCGTTTTAAGCGCAATATGCAATAATATCGTATAGCATCCCATCCCTAGCTACACACTCAATGATAACGCTAGAATTCTCATGTTAGGTAAGTATAACGTTTACCATGTTCATCATTTTAGTTTTGTGTCAGGCTGAGGATAATGGGAATGACATAAGATTTATAGGTGTTTGGTCACTTTGGTATTGGATACATTTAAATTCAGACTTGGTCACTAACTGACACCAACAATTACAATTCATCCTCAAGGGGGGCACGAATGTGTGTACCTTAAGTTTTTTATTTATGAATAAAGTGCTTCTTGTGTCTGTCCAGGTGTTTCACTCAAAACCACCAAAAGTCAGCCTGTTGGTGGCGCTATAGAGTCAAAAGTACAAGATCTCATGACAATCCATGTTGATATACAGACAGGTACACTATTCGGCACACCATGTTATGGCATATGGCATATAGTG